TCCTTCTTTCCTGCCTCTTCTCCCTCTTTTCCTTCCTTCCTCCCTCTTTCCTCCCTCCCTTCCTTCTTTCCTCCCTCCCTCCTTCCTTCCTTCCTCCCTTTTGTCCTTCCTTCTTTCCTCCCTCTTTTCCTTCCTCCCTCTCTTCCTGTTTCCCTTTCCTTCCTTCTTTCCTGCCTCCTCTCCCTCTTTTCCTTCCTCCCTCCCTCCCTCCTTTACTTCCTCCCTTCCTTCTTTCCTTCCTTCCTGCCTCCCTTCCTTTTCCTTCCTTCTCTCCTGCCTCCCTCTCTCCCTCCTTTTCCAGATTTCATCTCTCTGTTTCCTTCCTTCTTCCTCTCCCCTTTCTTTCCGTTCCTCCCTCCCCTCCTTTTTCCTTCTTTCTTCTCTCCTTTTCCTTCCTCCATCCATCCACCCATTTATCATCTATCCAGTACATTTTATTTATTGGCTCATTCATTCAGATGTATTTTCCTCGCATCTCCAGTGGACTCTGGGCCAGACAAAAACACTAAAAAAGGCATAGAAACAGTAAATATATTAAATAGTTATATTTAACTATAGATTTAGTTACTTGTTTGTGATAAATGCATTTCTTAACTACTAATCGTGAGTGTGGCTACTATCAGATAGCATCCCTGCAGAACAGCTTCATTTGCATACAAAACTGCCAGTTGCCTCTGCAGTCCTAGAAATATTTCAAAATAGCTTCTCTACCCAGCAATTTGAGAAAATGTGCAGAAGAAGAGAGAGATTTCCTCTTTCGTTGAATCCTTAAATGTAGCACCCACAACCGGACACAATACTTCATCTGCGGTTTGACCAAAATGAAATAAAATGCAACAATTACTTCCCATAACTTAGAAATTGCTTCTGCTGATGGAGCCTAAAGTTAACATTTTCCTGTTGTGTAGCCATCCTACATTGTTGACTTATTTACAGTCAGTGCTATTCTGAGATACATTTCAGAAGTAATATTAGCAAACCATATATTCCCCATTCTTTCATATGCCCATTTCTGTTTCTTAATTAAACTTTCTTAAGGAATAGGCTGATGACTTGCTTAGGAACCAAAATTGAGAAATTACACATTTTATTCTATGAGTTTTAGCCCATTTCTTTTAACTTACCATAAGTGCTCTGAATTCTTACTTCTACCTTAAGACACCTTCCGACTGTTTTATGTCATCTGCAAATTTGATGAGCATTTCATCCTCTTCTTCATCGAAGTCACGAATTTAAACCAAAATTGAAAATCGTAATCTGCGGGACTGAATCTTTTACCGTCCTAAAAAATTCCATTGAATGAAAAACCATTAATGAGCAGTTAAGTACAAGTTTCAGGTAGAAATTGAAAGCGCCGGTTATTATCTATAAAACCTTATGTGGCATAGTACCAGGTATTTGAAGGATTGTCCTCGCATTGATTCTACCTGTCTATTAGGTGGGGTAAGAGAGGCCACAGTTTGGGTCTCAACTGTCAGCGGAAACAGGAAATGGGCCTTTTCTGTAATTGGGCTGCCCTCTGGAACACTTTCCACTCATCCTAAAAGTGTTTTTTTTTCAAGAGGCAATCTATAGACATTTATGTTCTGACCAAGGCTTCCTGAGACCGTAATTAAGCACACGCTTAGTCCAAACAATGCTTGTTTTATTTCAACTCTGGGAATTATGTTCATTCCCAGCCTGTAATGAGTCCCAAACAATCCCTCGAGATAAGCACCCACCTTTCTCTCCTTTGAATTGCTGCCAACAACTAAAGTGCCAAATTAACTGAAAAAAAGGCAGGATCTCATCTGCCATCATCAGGCTTGTGTATTGGGTTCGTCTGTGGTAGCAGTATTGTCTGTTGTATTGAATAGCTTTATATCATCAGTGAAGAGAACGCAGTTGCTCTTAATATGATCACAGAGGTCATTTATGTAGAGTATGAAGAGAGTTGGTCCTAGAACACTGCCTTGGGGGACACCCCTATCGACAGGTACAGAATTTGATAGGACACTCCCAATTTTGACCATTTGTTGTCTGTTTGACAGGAATGCTTCTATCCAGTTATGCAGTTGTCCAGAGATACCATAAGATTTTAGTTTTAGGAGTAGTTTGTCGTGTACCACTGAATCAAAGGCTTTACAGAAGTCTATGTAGATTGAGTCTATTGCTTTGCCCTGATCGAGTTGTGTAGTCCATATGTTTTTGCAGTGTAAGAGTTACAGATTACAGGATAGCTTTTTCCTGAAACCAAATTGTTTATTAGAGAGAAGGTTGTTTGTCTCTAAGTGGAGGATAATGGATTGGTTAATAATTGATTCCATGACTTTACAGGTGACGCAGCATAAAGAGATTGGTCTGTAATTTTTAACTAGGCTGGGGTCTCCCTTTTTGAAGAGGGGGATGACCATGGCTTGTGACCATAGGTTAGGCAAGGAGCTGGTCCTGAAAGATTTTTCAAAGATTATGCTTAGATGTTCGGCTATGGCAGTGGATAGCCTTTTTAAGAAGTGGGCACCGGTTCTCTGGAACTGGCCACAACCTGCTGAATCCCACCACTGAGCCCCACTGCCATCAAGGCTAATAAGCCATTGATCTTCAGGACTTCCAGAAATTAGCCTAACAATTTTCTGAAGCCAGCTGAGCTGGTAGCCACTACTACATCTTAAATCGGCTACAAGCAGCAAAAGTGCCTCTCTCAACCACATCATGTAACCAAGCAAAGCGCATTAGACGGTTGCTCTTGTCTACCTGCCCTGTGCTACAGGTAGTAGTCAATCTGCGATCCAAACTGGAGCCAGAATTTCCATCATGAGAATGTAAGAGTCATGGGGCTGGGAGGGACCTTAGAGGTCTTCTAGTCCAATCCCCTGCTCAAGGCAGGGGAGACCTTACGCCATCCCGGTCAAGTGGTTTTCCAGTACTGCAATGATGCGATCATAAACATACGATAAGTGATAAGTCAAGAATGGTAAATCGAGAAGTGCAACTAAGACGATTAAAGGCCTGGAGACTAAAACATATGAAGGACGGTTGCAGGATTTGGGTTTGGTAAAGAAAAGAAGGACCAGGGGTGACATGATAGCAGCCTTCCAGTATTTGAGGCGCTGCCACAGAGAGGAACAATGGGTCAACATGTTTTCCAAAGCACCAGAAAGAAACAATGGATGGAAACTCATCAAGGAGAGAAAAGCAACCTGGAATTGAGGAGAAACTTCCAAACAGTGAGGACAATTTAACCAGTGGAACAGCTTTGCCTTCAGAAGTTGTGGGTGCTTCATCGCTGGAGGTTGCTATGAAGAAACTGGACAGTCGCTTGTCTGAAATGGTATAGGGTCTGATACTTGAGCAGGGGCTGGACTAGAAAACCTCCAAGGTCCCATTCTATTCTATTCCTCTTCCTATTCTATTCCTACTCTATTCTATATTCGGTTCTTATTCCTAATCTATTCTATTCTTATTTCTATTCTATTCTATTTCTATTCCATTCCATCCCATTCCGATTCTATTCTACTATTCTATTCTGTATTGTATTGTATTGTATTCTATCCTATTCTATCCTATTCCTAGTCCATTCTATTCCTATTCCTGTTCTGTTCTGTTCTATTCTATTCCTATTCTATTCTGTTCTAGTCTTTCCTAATCCATTCTATTCCTATTCTATTCTATTATATTCTATTCCTATTCTATTCTAGTGTTTCCTAGTCCATTCTATTCCTATTCTATTCTATTCTATTCTATTCCTATTCTATTCTAGTCATTCCTAGTCCATTCTATTCCTATTCTATTCTATCCTATTCCTATTCT